TTGGCAAGGAGTTTTGACTTCCGCATCTGGGTCTCAGAGACACTGGGGACCTGGTATAAGGGGGGGGCCTAAGGTGGGTGGAGGGGAGAATCACAGGTCCGGCTGGGAGTCAATGTGAGGTCCCTGAGAGAGGACAGAGGGGACCCTGGGCCCCAGATCAGGGTAGGCCCTGGGAGGTCATAGGGCAGGAGGACCCCTTGCAGAACTTCCTGACATCCGGGTCCCAGAAAGAGTGGGGCCCCGGTATGAGGCGCGGGGCCTCAGGTGGGCAGAGGGGAGAATCCCAGGTCCTGCCGGGGGTCAGGGTGAGGACCCTGAGGCAGGACTGAGGGGACCCTGGACCCCAGAACAGAGGGGACCTCAGAGGAGCTCGCCCATGCTGTCAGCCCTGGGAGGTCCCGGGCAGGGCTGACTGGACGTTGCAGGCTCTCACCTCTGCCACGTGGTTGGGGATGGAGGTGTCTAGGGATGCGAGGACCTTGGTCTGAGGGGAAACATCAGGGCAGCGGAGGACGGAGTCCCAGGACCTGCCAGGGGTCAAGGTGTGGACCCCGAGAGAGGACTGGGGGGAGCCCAATCCCCGGAACAAACGGGGGCCCACAGACATCTGGCCTGACCCAACTGTCAGCCCTGGAAACCTCGGGCAGGACCTGTCTCACTGCCCCCTCCTCATTTCCAGATGGGTGGGCTCAGGGAGGAGGGAACCATGCTCTGGGGGTCTGGCCTCAGGCCCCGGCAAGGGTCATGGAAAAGACTGGGGAGACCCCTACTCACACAGAGTACTTGGAGCCCAGCCGGCCCTGCCCCTTTTGTCACCCATGGGTGTCCCAGAATAGGTGGGAGCATTGACTCCCTGTCACATCCTCTCCTGGTGTCTTATGGAGGTGAGGCCTTGGCTGAAGGAGATTGGTCATAGTCAGCAGAGGGAGCTGTCCCAGGCCCTGCAGGGTGTCAAGGTGCAGACTGAGCCGACCACCCATCGTTCCAGCACAGATGGACCCCACGGAGTTCGGCCACCCCTTTTTGTCCCCTGTGACCCCTGTTAGCCCCTGGGCAGGTGTAGCCAGTATTCGGGGCCCCTCACTTCTTGTCAGTGCAGGGAATTTGTTTGAGAATTTTGACTCAGACAGCAGACAGAGGGCCCAGGCCCTGCCAGGGGGAAGGGGAGGCCCTGCCCTGAGTGAGCACAGAGGGGGCCACCCATGCCAGGACAGTGGGAACCTCACAGAGTAAAGCCCAGTCCTCCTCCCAGCACCGAGGGGCACAGGGCTGTGCCACAATCTACAGCCGAGGTGCCCCATCCATCCCTCTTATAGGGGCTCAAGGAACTGGGAGGTGAAGGCCCAGGTCTGAAGACTGTGTCCTCAGGGCACAGAGCAGAGGAGGCCCAGGCAGTGCCAGGTATCAAGGTGAGGTGTGTGCCCTGAGTGTGTACCCAGGGGCTCCCCCTCCCAGAACAGAGGGGACCCCACAACACCCAAGTCACCCCACTGCCCTGTCAGCCCCAAAACCTGGGGCTGTGCTGGCTGCACCCTGAGGAGCCCCCTCACTTCCTTCTTCAGGTTGGCGGGGGACAGGCCGCCCAGGAGGAGCACCCCTGTGAGGCCCGAGGGCAGCCTTTAAGAGGAGACCTGTAAGTGGCGTTTGTCAGAGCTGCCCAGGGTGCCTTTCTCCGCCGAGGCCACTCACACCCCCTCTCTACCCCAGGTACGAGGTCCCCACCTATCGCCCCTGCCCACACTCCCGTCGGCGACCTGACCCCAGTCATCAGGCCCCTGGTTGAGAGGAGTGAGCTCCGCCAGCCTGAGGCCGACCTTCATGCCCCAGTCCCGGCCCAGGGTCCGGTGGAGGCGCAGCTGTTGGGGGCTGTGGGGGAGGAGGCCGCATCCCTCTCGTCCTCCGCCTCCTCTTCTTACTCTGTCCTGTTCCTGGGCACCCTGGAGGAGGTGGCTGATGCTGGGGAACCCAGTCCCCCCCAGATCCCCTCCCCCACTGCCATGGCCACCCCTCCATGGAGCCAATCTGAAGACGACGGCCTCAGCACCCCAGATGAGGAAGGGCCGAGCACCTGGCATGACCAGGAAGATGCTGAGTCCTTGCTCCAAGATGCACCACATCAGAAGGTGGCTGACCTGGTGAGGCTCCTGCTGCTCAACTATCGCACAAAGGAGTCGACCACAAAGGCAGAAATGCTGCCATCCTCAAAGATTACCCAGACCACTTCCCCGTGGTCTTCAGCTGAGCCTCCGAGTGCATGCAGCTGGTCCTTGGCCTCGACGTGAAGGAGGTGGACCCAAGCAATCACTCCTATGTCCTCGTCCCCACCCTGAGCCTCACCTAGGATGGGATGCTGAGCAACGGGCAGAGCACGCCCGAGGCCGGCCACCTGGTGCTGGTCCTGGGCGTGATCGCCCTGTTCGGCGACCGCGGCCCTGAGGAGGAGGTGTGGGGAGTGCTCGGCAACATGGGGGTGTGTGCTGGGAGGGAGCCCTGCATCTATGGGGAGCCCAGGGAGCTGCTCACCAAAGTGTGGGTGCAGGAGGGCTACCTGGAGTACCGGCAGGTGCCCCATAGCGACCCTGCCCACTACGAGTTCCTGTGGGGTGCCCGGGCCTACGCGGAGACCAGCAAGTGGCAGGTCCTGCAGCATCTGCTCAGAGTCAATAGCTTGGATCCCAGGTCCTTCCCATCTGTGTCTGCAGAGGGTGTGAGCGATGAGGAAGGCGGAGCCTGAGCCAGAGCAGCAGCTAGGCTCCTTCCAGGCCCACGTCCAGCAGCTTCTCCTGTGGGGCAGGAAAGGAGGCTGATCCTTCACTCTGAGTTTGAAGAGGGAGCGGTTAGCCTTCTAAGCAGTGAGGTCCCGGGCCAGTCGGAGGAACTCAGTGGGTAGCATCTTTGGGTTCCTGTTGTATATGATGACATGGAATTTCATCTCTGTTTTCTTTGGGAATTTTTCACATATTGTCTCATATAAAAGAAGGCTTAATAAGCTTCAGTATCTAAGTTTGCAAATGACATTAATCACACATGTATTTGCATTAGTTCAGTTCAATGACAAGAGTTTTGCAATTGTGTAAAACAAATTGTAAGATTCCCATATTATTTTGTGATGGTGAACAAGATAACATGGCATTGGAATAGGAATTTACTTGGAAATGTGAAAGTAATTAGCAGTACAACTGAAGGCCACCACGTTGTTCCTCGGGACACCCCGTCGTCCACTCAGTGGTGGGTGCCCTGCTGTGGGACGTTCCTGTTCCAGACAGAGGGCAGGGCTAGGCCCCGGGCATGTGGACCAGAGGGGGAGTGGCTGACCTGGGGGAGCGGGCATTGCCGGCACCCATCTTCCTGGAGAGACACCACCCGCAGGGCCCTCAGGAAGGGAGGCAGTGGGGGGATGGAGGGCCGCCAGGTGGGGTGTAGTGGAGGCATATTGTTGGGGACACTGGTGGGGGCGCCGTGACCCCCGGACTCTGGTGGCCGTTAGAAGTTCCTCTGTGTGTTGTTATGCCCTCTGTTCAATGGTTTCAGTCAATGTTTCTCTTTAATAAATTTCCCTGAACGTTTCCTCTGAGTCTGGCCTCTGCTGTGGGCAATGGAGGGAAAGGGCTGCTGCGGGTGAGGGCGTGGGTCCAGAGTGCGATTCCTGCTCAGCACCCATGGGACACCTCTCCAGGGAGAGGGTAAGGTAGGCACTTTGCAGACCCAGACATCGTGAGGGTTTTTCTTCCAGTTCATAGGTGAACTGTAAAGTTTTAGCGAAAACTGATAATTGCCTACAAAGGCAGTAGAGAAGTTAAAATGTAAATGAAAACCTTGAGTATCTCAGCAGGAAAAAGGGAACATAGGAGCAACAATAGTTGGACAGACACTG